GAACTTAATGTGATTTCATTGCTGTAGTTACAGAAAATCACGTGGTTTTCGTTTTGTGTTCATAGAAACAACAATTCTCTTTTCTTATTAAAGTGACTAAAATAATTAAATCCACAGTTAAATCCTTAACTGTGTGACTGTTTATGCCATCTTTTAAAAACCATCCACTGTCCTGAAAATGACAGTCATTCAACCTTCCAGATTTGTTCAGGTTCATTTAACATTCATTTCAGAACATATTTATTGGTGGATCCCAATGAGCGTGAAGAACGTGTAATGGATGGCTTGCTGGTGATTGCCATGAACAAGCATCGAGAGATTTGTACCATCCAGTCCAGTGGTGGGATAATGCTACTAAAAGATCAGGTTAGTACTTTGATTGATGTGCCACTAAGAACAGGTTTCTTCTTTTTCTTCCCCACCCCGGTATAACAGGTTTTCTTTTTTTTTCTTATTATGCTTTAAGTAGAAAGTTTGCAATTCAAGTTAGTTTCTCCTACAGAAATTTACACACACATTGCTATCTGACCCTAGTTGCTCTCCCTGTGCTGTGACAGTACACTCCTCCTTTCCACCCTGGATTTCCCAGGTCCACTCAGCCAGCTCCTGACCCTCTCTACCTTCTCGTCTCACCTCCAGACAGGAGCTGCCCATTTAGTCTCATTTATCTAGTTGAGCTAAGAAGCACAGTCTTCACGAGTATCATTTCATGTCCCATAGTCCAGTCTAATCATTGTCTGAACACTTGGCCTCGGGAATGGTTTTAGTTTTGGGCTAACAGAAAGTCTGGGTGCCGTGTCTTCCCGGGTCCCTCCAGTCTCAGTCAAACCATTAAGTCTGATCTTTTTACTAGAATTTGAGTTCTGCACCCTACTTTTCTCCTGCTCCGTCAGGGCTCTCTGTTGTGTTCCCTTTCAGGGCGATCACAGGAGGTTTCTTCTCTTTAGAAGCTTTAAGTTGTCCTTTGACCAAAATCCAACAAGGATACTTGGAATAATTAGTTGTGTAGGCTGTGTTAGAATCGGTTTCAGTACTACCACTGTCGTCTGCTGACGGGTGGTTAGGTGTCCTCCTTTCTCCCTTGCTACTTGCACACCTGGCCCTTCAGGATAGAGGAGCACCTTTCTCCCAATCAAGAAAGAAATCTGTGTCCCTGCCAAAAAATAAGGGTCAAAAAACAGGAATTAGCTAAAGAGATAGTTTTTCTATTAGAATTTGGGTACAATAAGCAGTCATTCCCAAATCCAGCTACATATCAGATTCACATGGAGGCTTTTGAAAACTAGATGGCCATATAGCATGTAGGGTAGGTGGTTAAGAGCACAGACTACTTTAACTCCAGCTCTGCCTTGTACTAGCTGAACTTGGGCAAATGCTGTAATATCTTTGGGCGTCAGTTCTTTATCTGTGAAATAGGGAATGGTGTCATTGCCTACACTTGGGGTGGTTAGAAAAATGTGACGACAGATACAATCGATGTAGATACAGTGCAATGTCCAGCAGATAGTAAGTGCTCAATGAATGTTAGTTGCCATTGTCATTATCGTCATCACCAGCCTCATGACCACTACCCAGACCCCTAGTTCCAGAGATGCTGATCCTAGGCCCCCGAGGTCTGGGGATCATTTTGTTCTATAAAAGCTTCCCAGGAGACATTGTGCAGCCATGTCTTGAACTAGTGGTTTGGATAACTAACATAAAAAGGAAGGCAGTACATCCCTGAGCAAATAATGTACTTCTGTGACCTTTTACATTCTCATATAAAAAGTTTTCAGATCTGCTCCCTTAATGTGGTAATTGTTCAGATATTTTAAAACATCTCTCACATCTTGCCTTAGTTTGTGTTTATACTGTATTATTTTCACATTTGAAAAGAGTCAGATTTAAGTAAATTATAAAGGTAGAAAAATGAATCTCTTAAAAAGTGAGAAATTCCTGTTTTTGAGTTTGATTAGAGAAAACCATTTGGTTTGTTGTCTTTAAATGATAAAGTTTACTTTTATAAATAGGTTTTGAGGTGCAGTAAAATAGCTGGTGTGAAAGTAGCAGAAATTACAGAACTAATACAGAAAGCTTTGGAGAACGACCAGAAAGTGAGGTAAGTTTTTTCGGAACTAAATGATCTTTTAAACCAGCTCTGTTTCATTATTTCTCATCCATCAAAGGATAAAACAGTAACTTTTTTTTTCTTGTCTTGTCTGCCCCCTTCCCCCCTTTTCAAAAAAACCCACACGTAGGAAAGAAGGTGGAAAGTTTGGCTTTGCAGAGTCTATAGCAAATCAGAGGATCACAGCATTTAAAATGGAAAAGGCCCCTGTTGACACCTCCGATGTAGGGGAGAAAGCAGAAGAAATCATTGCTGAAGCTGAACCTCCTTCAGAAGTGTATCTTTATTGGGTGGTTTTTGCAATAAAAACAAAAACATTTTTCCATAGCACTTTTGGTACTTAGGACTATGTGAAGGGTATACATACTGAACTTTGTTTTCTGAAAGACTGCAGTATCTTAACTTTGTTAGAGAACTAGTGAAAACACTTCAGATATAAGACCAGATCGTAATTCCGGTCATGAGTTACAGTGAGTCAGTGATACATCATCCAGCTTCTCTCCAGTTATCCTGCAGAAACCAGAAAATTCTGTATTTTAAGAAACAGTTTATAGCATTTTTCTTTGGAAAATTGTTCTTTGATATTGATGGGATGGTCAGGCACTTTATGTACTGTTAAACATTGTTTTTTATTCATCCATTCACCAAATTTATTACAACTACTAAAATGTTGGGAGCCATTCTGTCTCTCGATTTTTTTTTTTTTTTAACCATTGTGTCCATAAAATCTTGGCCTGAGTTATAGATTTTACTTTTACTTCTCTCTTCCTCATTATTCAGCCATTTGTACTATACCAAACCAAAAAAACCAAACCCACTGCCATCAAGTTGATTACGACTCATAACAACCCTAAATGACAGAGAAGAACTGCTCCATAGGGTTTCCAACGTGGATTCGAACTGCTGACCTTTTGTTTAGCAACCAAGCTCTTAACCACTGCACCACCAGGGCTCCGTTCACAGTACAGCAGTTAGTAAATTTTTTTTTCCAAGCATTTGAGGCACACTTGAATCAGTCTAAAACTTTGATTTTTCTCTTTCAACAGTGCATCAAATAGCAGTATTTTTGCTTGTTCTGTTTTCTTAACTCATTCAGAAGTGTTTCTAACCCTGTGCTATGGACTCCTGGAACCGCCCAAATTGGAGAAGGCATAGAAAACTCCTGGGGTGATCTTGAAGACTCTGAGAAGGAAGATGAGGATGAAGGTGGCAGTGATGAAGCCATCATTCTCGATAATGTGAAGATGGACACTGGAGTAGATATCTCCAATATTGGAAGCCAAGGTTGGTTATACTTTATGGGTCTTCCATAAATAAATAATAGATCTCCTTTTTGGAGGGGTTAAATATTTTGTGATTTAAATTTCAACTAAACTCTTGAGGCTCGCTGCAATATTAACTCTAGAATAATATGCTTATCTTTGTGGAGACGTGGTACACTTACGGCATGTAAACGATAGTAGTATTTAAATTGTTTTGTTCTTCCCTTTTGTACTGTTAAATGGGTCAGTTTTAAGGGGACCAGTTTCATAAAGATCTCATTCCCACATGTTGTCTTTTCTT